GTGGACAGGCCAGAGAGGAGGAGCAAAGAAGCCTGGCACGGTGTGATGGATGAAGCCGTGAATCGGACAGTGGTGTTTGCAGCCTCCGATGCCACCTGAAGGGTTGCTCTGGCCACATCTGTGCCCCCATCCAGGATCATCTGGAGCTCCTTCATCAAAATCTCAGGAAAGCAGTTTTCAAACTTGACCATGGTCTGACATTAAAATTACAGTGTCCTAGGAGAGGCTGATGGTTGGCTGCCCTCAGTTGGAGGCTAGAGGCCAAATAAACTTTAGGTCCAAACAAATCTCCCCTCCTCGAGCCTTTGCTCTTAGGGATAGCTCTGGGTTGACCTGTTCTCTGTCTGTGGTTAACTGCCTCTAACCATTAGGGAATAGGGACCGTGCAGGTGTACAAGTACTCCTGGCCTTTGGATGGCACAAAGTATTTGTGCTCCACTCTCTCGGAGATAGGAGGCACAGAAGAGGGAACCTGTCACAGGGCAGTGGTGATTTTAGAGATTCCTTCACAGAGGGGCAATATCACCCTGGTGCTGTGGAGCAGAGGACATCAAAATGGGAGTTTGAAGTTTCCTCTAACTCCTCAATCTGGAAGCCTAGGTTGGCAGCTATCCTCTTGAACAGCTCCTGGTGCACCTTAGAATTATCCTGGGGTACTGGTAAAGGGGGCCCCATTATAGCTTTGTCTGGCAAGGACAAGGAAAATGCCAGTGCCACAGGATCAATTGCAACCATTAATGGTTTAGTGGCTTGCTCCTGCACGTTCTCCTGGACCTGCAGTGTCCTTGCCTTTATCTTAGCTTTTTATATTGTCTTGCATGACCTTCTCATAAACAAATTAGAGAAATTCAACATAGATGGCACTACTATAAGGTGTGTGCATGGCTGGTTCTCAGAGAGTACTTATCAATGGTTCAGTCATACTCGAAGGCCATCACAAGTGGGGTTCTACAGTCCGGTTGTGTTCATCAATGAGATATTCACCAATATCTTCACCAATGATTTAGATAATGACACACACTGTACACTTATAAAGTTTTTGGATGATGCCAACCTGGAAGGGGTTGTAAGTGCTTTCAAGGAGAGGACCATAATTCAAAATGACTGATGATTCTCAAAATGAAATATGAAAAATATCATCCAAGTTAGGTTAATGCCTTCAAAATGGAAAGCACTCTTAAATTAAGGTTAATATTGAATCTTAATGTATTCATTTCATATATACACAAAGAGAAAAAACAAGGGAAAGTATTAATAGTTACAATAAAATCCTATATGTTCAGAAAAAGCAGTAACATCTTAAATAGTGTAGTGGACTTTAGTGTTAATTAATAAATTTAATATCCTGAAACCACTGTAAATGTTACTTCCTTGGGTTTCAGATGAATATGATCCTTATCTGATTATAGTCCTTCAGCATTTAATGAGCATGAGAATCCATAATCTGCCTAGAGAAAAAAAACCTGTGCCAGGCTGCACTTTATTGAATCCTACAATGTACAAACAGAAAACAGAAATGCAAACACAGCTGCCTCAGCAAAGCCTACAGGGATAAAGAAAGCAAGACAAAATGAATTCAGAAGTATGTGAAAGAGTCCAACTCCTAAGATTAATCAAACACACAGCAAAACTATTTTGATCTGTTTTGTCTTTAATTGGCAACATTTACTTTCTTTTTTAAAAGGATATAACTTCCATGATATTACATCTTTATTTATAGCACCACTAGAAAAAGGGTTAATGAAAATATACTCAATTCCCCCAAGTTTAACAGAATGCTGCTAATTTATTTATAAATCCTTTCCCATACCAAGTGAACATTATAGATACTCTAAAGGGTTGTTATAGCAAAAAAAGCACTGACATACATATTGATAATTCATATTTTCCTAATAATTGGCTGATAGCTAGAATTAAATACATATAAAATAGTCCAACTACAATAGTCACTTTGCCAATAGAAAAAAAGATGAGTGTAAAAATATATTTTCAGCACTGCTTTTCAAGACAAGTCTTATTTATCATATCAGCCTTATACAAGACAGCATTAAAAGATTTTGTGAATGAAGGTCTGAATGAGACAAAAACAAAATGGTGGAACAGGTTCCGAGAATTAAGGGAACAACCTAATTTATGTTTCTTTCTGGTGAACCATCTGGGGGCCAGCAACTGGCAGGCAATTACCATAACACATGAGGGCAGGACATTTCAACTGCAGACATAAGGGGGTTACAGTCACAGAGCAAAATACCCATTTTGTCAGGGGGCCACACACAAAGCGTTCAGAACATTACCTCTTCTACCCTCCCTGGTATTTTTAAAAATATGTACTTTTTTGATTGTATGGTTGACGTTAACTAAGTTTACAGAATTTAAGGACTCTTTTGGGTTGGGGGCGAATTATCAGGATGGAGCATACATCATCACTAACTGATTCCTATATGAACAATAAAAGAAATACATAGAAGATATTTATGATTTCACTTTGGTTACCATAAGGAAATTGGTACAATCAATGCTCGAAATAAGATGTAGGTGAACTAAGAGTAAAAAAACAACTGCAATTTGATCCAATGGCCAATTTTAATTTACAACCACATTTCTCCCTCTTTAGCATAGCCCGTGTGTCTGCTAAATATAAAAAATACAGGAGTGTGATTCTGGCATATTAATTTCTAAACAACAAGAAAGAGAGAGACACACACACACAGCAAGTGAGAGAGAAAGGACTATATTTTACCTTTAAAAAAAATTCAGACCTCTATGTCAACTACATGAGGTAAAAGCCCACACAGCCAGGAAAGCTTCCTTGAAGATACTTCTTTTGTGAATAAAAGGAGGTTAGAAAGCTATTCTACAAAGCCACTTGTGAAGAATGCCATTTTATAGTTTAACATCAATTTTTAAAAAATGCATAAATAGAATTCCTTACCGTCTGTAGTCTGACTGATGGTGTTCGGCTAAGAGGACTTCCTACTGGGCTGAAACTCCCTGTGAAAAGACAAAGCTGTGAATTTTTGCTTGTTATCTGTTCTATCTAATAAACCACTTTATTTTAAAAACATTATGCTAGCAGGACATTTATCACAAAACTTTAATGAAAAGCAGCAGCATCTTTCAGTTGCAACTACACAACCTTCAGTCAGGAACAGTTGGAGGGTTTATCTAACTAATAGACAGGACACAAGGTTAGCTAATCCAATATTTTCATTCAAATGATTCGGAGCAATAGCATAAGCAATGTCCACATGCCACTTCATGCTCATAACAGATACTATTATGTAGGCTACACTGCCTTTTTTTCATTGTATTTCTGAGTAGCGCATACAAAGTTTTCAGTCAGAAATGATCACAAAACCTCTCAAAGGAATTACTTCATTTTATCTGAAAGAATAAGTATGTCTATTCAGTATTTCCCTTTCATCATCTGACTTCCTACCACAACACATCTTGCTGTTTATTTTATTCACTTTTTATTCGGTGCATTTGAAAAAGTGGTACTTGTAAATTTGTTCCTTTTGAAATTATTACATTGGCTAAGCTCAAGAAAATCCTTTTATCATCTATGGTTTTATCTTTTTGTTATTGGTTTCTTTTACTGTATAACACCTAAGAAAACATCTTTAAAAGATAGAGACATCATGAAAATACAAAATGCTATAGCTTTGCTCAAGATATTTCATCTTTCTTTTTTTCCCCTCAAGAAGATGGAGCAGAGGGAGGCCAAATATCATAGAGTTAAGCTCACCAGCTTTTTGCCATGAGAGAGGAGGGCTCATATCCTAGTTTAGGTTTTAAATAAAAATGAGTTCTAAGGTCTCACTCTAGTCTCCAATCACAAAACCCAACTCAGTTTAGCATAACAAGGAGCCAACACTCTGAGTAATGGGGATTTTTCTGGTTAAGATTCAGATGCATAGATCTTTGGGAAACCTTCCACAACCTCTACCCGCACTATACTCCTGGTAAGCCAGTGGTGTTAGTCATAGTCATAAGAGATTTACTCGTAAATGTTTAACCACTGGAAGATATTGATATATGTAATTAAAAGGTGCAAGCTCAAGGAGTTACAATTTGTTAGACTCTGATCTGACAAATTTAAGGTGAGTTGTGTCTGGGTCATTGTTGCTAGGCAGATGCATAATTAGTACTCAACACTCAGAAATTTCTTAGTTAGGTGTGACAATTTGGGGCATGCTTAACAGATTCTCTGTAGCTTGACTGAGATTCCATGAAGGTAAGAAGTCAGGGCAGCTGCTCTGCAAAAGGCCGTTTGCCATATGTGGGCTGGAAGAAGTTAAGCCAGAGGAGCAGAAAACAGGCTGTTTCTCCCTAATGTTGAAGCATTTTGCAGCAGGTTATACTGCTAACCCTCCAACAGGGAAATCCTGATAGGATTAAATACAGAAAGGGGAAATTGGGAGGGAAAACTAATTTTTATTGTATACTTGGAAAGTTTGATTTCAGCCAATCTGTTTTAGTTAAACTGTCTCAACTAATATGATCCACCAACCTTTCTCTTATTTAAATGGGGGAAAAGATTGCTTATATATTGCTATTCTCAGTTTGTAGTTTTCTTATGACCGTTTTTTTCTATATATTTAAACTGAGTGTTTGGTTTATTAATTAGCTGAGTGATTTCAGTAGAGAAGAAAGAAGTATCTGCATTAATTCCATCGGAAGATTTCTACAAGCAAGTGGAAGAATGATGTTGATTTTGAACAGATTTCAGAGAACAAAGACTGTAACTGAGACTCAGATGAACTCAACCTAAGCTTTTGGGAAATCAGAATTTCTTCTCATGGTGTTTCTGTGGGAATTAACCTGTTTAGATTTAATTTCTTTATGAATATTTATGTATCACTGTGAATATTATGTGGATTATAAAATAGCTATGTTATGTTGCAGAAATTAAGTTTTTCTTGATAAAATTATTATAAGATTTTATCAAGTTGGAACTTAAGTATTAAGCTCATTCCTTTTGTTCTTTTTGGATTTGAATGAGGGGAGGTTGACCCTGTAGAATCCTTGCTGAAAATGCTTAGTAACTGAATTCTTGGTCTCCGGGTGCTTTTGTGTGAAATAGAGTTTTTAGGTGCTAGAAAAGTGTAGATAAGTAAACTCTAGCCCACACAAGGTTTACCCAAACACTTATGCAAGTGAGAAGTCTCTGAGTCAATGGGAGCAAAGTCATTACAGCAAAGTCATTCGTGTGTTTATGTGTTTTACCAGAGCAAGGCCTTCGGGTATCAAGAGTAAAATGTAATCCCTATTACATACAGAATCCACGTAAAGAATACATAGGATTTAAAAGGGTGCTATACAGTTAATTTTGACAGTTTATGGTTTAAAAAAATTGTGCAAAACTCAAGACCAGCTAAAATGTCTCCAATTTAAACTTTCTAATGCTATTTTTTTCAAGTAAAACACACCAGCATTGTGCTAGTTTCAGAATCTGAAAGTTATATGAATTCAAATGAAATTTTAATTTTCCAAGATGAGAGAACTGTAAAAAACATGCAATGAAAAGAAATTCTTTCAATTTTAGTAATTTAAGATATTTTTATAATAAATATGAAATTTTAATTACTTCCTTTTTTTAATCTCAGTGCCCCTTAAAGGAAAGTATATATTACTTGTCAGATACTAAGGCAACCCTCTTAGGGCTTGATACTTCACAACCTTACAAAGATTAGTAAACTTTTTCAGTTCGCAAGTGTTTGCAGAATCCTGCCTGAAGAGGAGAGCAGGGCCCAAACTGGGATTCTGAAAGATTTTACTCCCTTATTTTAATGAATTTATTGTAAATTTGCTGTAAAGAAAACTAACTGACTGAATCTTAGCTTAGAAGTCCAAGACAAGGTGAAATTTTATTTAGAAAAATCCTTTCAAAACAAAGCTTTTTGGTGTAAAGTTTTAAAAATAAAAATAATGTAACAGTATATATGTATATAGTTAATGCTTTTCTGATTTAAGAATAAATTTGTTAAAATAAAATCTAGGTTGATTAATCCAAGAAATTTTAATACAGTAGAACTCAGTTGGTTTTGAAATATCGTGAATCAGATGCTTAGTCAAGGTTATGGCTGAAGAGGCACAGCACATAGAAGAGTGGAAGGAAAAGCTTGATATAGTAAAAGGAAATGTTTGTATTGATACTTTTTTGATATAATTACAGGTCCATATAAAGACAAATCTACTAAAGAGGGAAAACAAGAAACACCAATAACATCAGTTCTGCTATCAAGATGGCATCATGGAGGCTGAGAAAGACTCAGCTGCCCAGTCATGCTAGTGCTGACTTGGTGAAGAGCTGAACTCCCATTCCATGCTGGAGAATCTCCTTCCTGTGACCACAATGGGGCCATTAAATCTGGCATCTGATGGCTAACTGTCAGTGAGGGTGACCAGTATCTTGAGTAGATAAATCAGTACTGAGGAGTATTGGTACCATTTCAGATGAATCAGTACTGGTACCATTTCAGAGACCTTTCCCATGTTGTAGGACAGTGGTCTCCAACATTTTTACACCCAATTTCACTTTTTAAATGTCAGAGCAAGCCACAATCTACCCCATCCTTTCCCCAAGACCCCACCCTTTCCGTGAAGCCCCGCACTCTCTATTCTCCTCGGCTATGTCTAGACTGCAGGCTTCTTTTGAAAGAGGCTCTTTCGAAAGCATCTTTCGCAAGAGCCTCTTTCGAAAGATCGCGTCTAGACTGCAGGCGGATCTTTCGAAAGAGAAATCCGCTTTTTCGAAAGAGAGCACCCAGCGAGTCTGGATGCGCTCTTTCAAAGACGGCCTCTTTACATTGAAGAACACCTTCTTTCGAAAGAGGAACTTTCGAAGGAAGGCGTTCTTCCTCGTGAAATGAGGTTTACCGCCATCGAAAGAAAAGCCGCGTTCTTTCGAAATAATTTCGAAAGAACGCGGCTTGAGTCTGGACGCAGGGGAAGTTTTTTTGGGAAAAGGCTACTTTTCCCGAAAAAACCCCTGAGTCTGGACACGGCCCTCCTCTCTGTCACTTGCTATCCCCCCAGCCCTTATACACTCTCAGGGTACAGCTACACTGCCACTTTTTTTTTTAATCCTTCTGTCGGAAGAGGTTTTTCCAACATTTGGCGCATTTAGACTGGGCCAAATGTCAGAAAAACCCCTTCTTTCGGAAGCCCTCTTATTCCTAGTAGAATGAGGAATACAGGAGTTGCCAAAAGAGCGTGTTTGCTCTTCCACTAAAAAAAGCGTAAGAACAAACACGTCCCTGGATGTGGAAGAGTTTTTCCAGGATACCTCTAGTATTCCAAAAAAACTCTTGTAGTCTAGCCATACCCTCACTGGGTTGAGACAGGAGGTGTGGGCTCTGGGGTGGGAATGAGGGATTTGGGTGTGGGTAGGGGTGAGAGGTGCAAGTTCTGGGAGCGAATTTGGATGCAGGAGGATGTGGAGAAGGGGATGCTGGCTTGGGGAGGAGGCTCCAGACTGGGGAGTGTTTGGGTCAGGTGGAGGGTTGGGGTGCTGAGCAAGCCACAAGCTTGTGGATGTGAGGGTGCAGGAGTTTGGGTTGGGATGTGTGAAGGGCTCAGGGCAGGGAGGCTGGGAGTATGGTGGGCTCAGGATACAGGTTTGCAGTGTATGGATGGTGCAGGAGTGTTGTGGCAAAAGACTGAGAATGGAGGGGTGCAGGAGTTTGGGAATGTCTCACAATGGCTCAGGACAGGGGGTTTCAGTGTATGATAGGCTCAGGTTTGGAGTTGGGGTGGGGGTACAGGCATAATGCTGCGACCAGATGGGGGCTTGGCCCCAATTGGGGGCTTGTTGGACAGGCTTCATTTTTAAATAAGATATTTTGTCACCACAAAAAGTTTCAGCATTGTCTTTATTAATGAGAAGGGCAGGGAACTTGTTTTGAGTCAGGGGTCACTAGCCCACAGAATAATAAGTTGGGGCCACACAAGTGAGATGCAAAAAAACAACCCCTCCAGCGCTCCTC